AAAAAAAAAAAAGTCTCAGACTTTTCTTCCCTGGACTGGCTTTGAACTGCGGTCCTCAGATCAGCCCCCCCAGCACCAAAGACCTCTCAGGACCCTCCTGTTGCAGCCAAAGCAAAGAGTCTCTGAAGCCAGGTGCCGGCAGCTCACGCCTGTCATCCTAGCTACTCAGGAGGCTGAGATCTGAGGATCGCGGTTCAAAGCCAGCCTGGGTGGCTTACTAGCCTTGGAGCCAAAGCATTCAGGGCCCTGAGTTCAAAACCCACAACCGACTGAAAGGAAAAGAACAAAAGAGAAAGGAAGGAAGGAAGGAAGGAAGGAAGGAAGGAAGGAAGGAAGGAAGGAAGGAAGGAAGGAAGGAAGGAAGGAAGGGAGGGAGGAAGGGAGGAAGGGAGGAAGGGAGGAAGGGAGGGGAAGGAAGGTCAGTCAAGATGACCACAGGGGTGCTATGATGGATTCACACCACGAGAGGGCGCCACCACAGGCTGCGGTCTGGGGATGAGGTGAGGAGTTGACCATCCAGCTGAGCCCAGCCTGGTGGAGGTCAGCGGGTGGAGAGGGAGGAGGGCATTGTGGGCAGGCCCTCGGGTGGGAAGGAGCTGAGGATGACCAGAAGGGGGGCATGTGACCGTAGCAGAGACGGCAGGAGTGTGGGCCAGGACTGGGCCAGGCAGAAGCGTGGTCCGTCCTGGGTGCAGGACATCATAACTACCTTCTTGCTCCTGGAATCAGCTGAGAACCCCCTGGAGCGGGGGTCCAAGGGCCCGGGTTTCCCTCACACAAACGTGTATTTGTTTGTTGTTTATTCAGCCCCCTCCACCACCACCCCCTCCCAGGGCCTCAAACCCGCAGAGTCCTTTTCCTTGAACGAGACCCAACTCAGTTCAGCTCACATCAGAGTGGGCCTCGCTTATGGAGATGGAAAACGGACAGGAAAGACACCCAGGGCCGAGGCCAGGGTCTTTTTCCTCCTCCTGAGAGCTGATGGGCAGATTTGGGGGGACCCTGGGCTCACCTGGAGGTTCTGTCTCAGATCCTTCTTTCTTGGCAGCTCAGGGCAGCCTAAGGAGAAGTTGAGACCCTCCTCTTTATACCTTCGGGTCAAGGGCAAAGTCTCCAGAACCCTAGCTGCCCCCCCTTCCACCCCCCCCTCCGTCCCGGTCCTCCCGCAATTAGATTTAACTTCACCCTGAGATTCCTCCCAGTTAATTCCTAATCGTCAGCTCCGCAGGGGGGTGTCTATGATCAGCCTCCCATTCTCCACCCAGCCAGCCTGAATCATGACCCTGGTAAAGACCTGTACCGACCCCTCCCTGAGGGGGGATCACCCAGACACTTGCTCCTGAGGGATGGGAGGGAGTATGGGATGGGAGGGAGGCAGAGGAGATAAGCCCAAAGATGTGGGGTATATTGGAATTCAGAGGGTCTCCCAGACTTAGAATCAGGATGAGAACCTGAAAATGCAAGGTCAACCGTGGGCAGGGGAGATGGGGCCCTCTCTGTGGGCGGGGCTGAGTTTAAATGGTAGTGGTGGCTCACACCTGTCATCCCAGGTACTCAGGAGGCTGAGATCTGAGGATCGAGGTTCAAAGCCACCCTGGGCAGGAAAGTGCATGAGATTCTTATCTCCGATGAACCACCAAAACACCGGAAGTGGCGCTGTGGCTCAGGTAGAGCCCTAGCCTTGAGCTGAAGAACTGAGGGACAGCGCCCAGGCCCTGAGTTCAAGCCCCATGACTGATCAAAAAAAATAATAATAAAGATGTCTTCCGGCTGGGAACATGGGTCATAGAGTGCTTGCCTAGCCTGAGCAAGTTCCTGGGTTCAATCCCCAGTACCGCACAAATCAAAAGACTTAAAATCCATGAATGTGTAAAATAAATGGTTCTGGCTCACCCCATCAGATCCAATAATGGTGGATTCTAGTCTAAATCTAGTTTAGGCAAGTGAGTAATCATGTTATCAATTCATCTTCCTGGTATAACCATGTGATCTATCCATCTCACTCATCCATCTTCCATTTATCCATCATCCATCCACCCATCCATCCATTCATCTATCCACCCATCCACCACCTATCCATCCATTCATCTATCCACCAATTCTCCATCCCCCATTCCCCATCCATCATTCATCCATCATGCATCCATCCATCCATCCATTTATCCATAACACATCATCTATTCATTATCTACCCACCCACTCGTCCATCCATTCATCCATCCATTCATCTGCCCACCCACCCATTCATTCATCCACCATCCATCATATCTATCCACCACCTGTCCATTCATTTATTCATCATCCATCCATCCATTTATCCATCATGCATCATCTATCCATTATCCATCCACCCACCTGTCCATCCATTCATCTGTCCACCCATCCATCCAGTCATCATCCACCATCTATCCATTCATTTATCCATCATCCATCCATCCACCCATTTATCCATCATCCATCATCTACCCATCATCCATTCATCCACCCATCCTTCCATTCATCCATCCACCCATCCATCTATCATCATCCATCATTCATCCATTATCCATCCATCAGTAATAAATATATCATCTCTCCATTTATTTATCACTCACTCATCATTTATCCTCTATTCATCTATCAAAATCCATCCACCATCCATCTATCATCCATTACCCATCCATCATCACCCATTCATCTATCCATCACCCATTCATCTATCCATCACCCATTCATCTATCCATCACCCATTCATCTATCCATCATCATCCACCATCCGCCTAACCAGCCCTGCAGTCATAGCCTTACCCATCCATTCCTAAGTACATCAGTTGAGTTTTACTCTGGGCCAAGACCTGCAATGCTAGCTTCTCTGCCAGTGTGAAGAAAGCTCTGAGCAACCATTAAGTCAGTCTGGCATGTCACAGGTCAGGTCACCTCTCTGGGCCTCTTCCTCATTTTACTTAGTGAAAGGCAATGAATTAGCTTCTTCAGTGAGTGGTCATTTTTTTGTTGTTGTTGTTTGTTTTTTGTCAGTCATGGGGCTTGAACTCTGGGCCTGGGCGCTGTCCCTGAGCTCTTCAGCTCAAGGCGCGCGCTCTACCACTTGAGCCACAGCGCCATTTCCGGTTTTCTGGTGGTTCATTGGAGATAAGAGTCTCATGGACTTTGCTGCTTGGGCTGGCTTTGAACCGTGATCCTCAGATCTCAGCCCCCGGAGTAGCTGGGATGACAGGCGTGGGCCACTAGTGCCCGGCACAGTGGTGGAGTTTAATGAGATATATGACCTACAGCATTCTCCACCTTGTGTAGAGGGACCCAGCTCAGGGTCACAACTCTTCCTGACCTCTGCTGATTCCAGGTCCTCTGAGCTGCACCCCTGGGTGACCCAGACACAAAGTTGGCCATTTTCTGCCCTGTTCTTCCTTTAATTTGACAAAGGCTGGCTGATGAATCCTTCGTGCCAAGTCTAGGCCTTGCTATGGTGCATTGAGTTTCTGTGGAAAGTGGCTGAGAGTGGAGACCTAGCCCAGCCTGGATTTGGGTAGTGAGGACCTTCAAGTGTGCAAGGGAAAGAGGAGGGGAAAAAGGAAGTAATGATACTGTTGGCTTTGTGTGTGTGTGTGTGTGTGTGTGTGTGTGTGCACGTTCATAGGTGTGCCAGAATTGATCTGCCCAGGCTGGCTTTGAACCATGATCCTCAGATCTCAGCCTCCTGAGTAGCGAGGATGATAGGCGTGAGCCACCAGCACCTGGATAACTTTCATTGAAGCCTTAGCACTAACACACACACACAGACACACACACACAGACAGACAGACACACACCACACAGCTAAGAACCTCTCACAGGCCCAGGAAGAGAATCAGAATCTCAAACACCCAGAATCCAGGACCATCTGCTGGTCAGCTGGGTCAATGCTGCTGACGTATCATGTAACCAGAGAAGAGAGCCCATCTGACCTCAGGACTCCTCAGGGGAGAGGCCGAGCTGTCACGGCGCCAGGGCACAGCCATGGCGAATGCAAGAGGATGGTGAAGACTGAATTTCATCCTGCCAAGAAACATCCGTTTCTCCTGGCGGCGTGAAGGCTGCGTGGAACAGAGAAAGAACGGTCCTAAGTGTGTGTCCAGGGCCTGGCAAGCCCTGGATGGTTCAATCACATGGTTCAACAATTGGGGCTTCTGATCCATTTGCTCCTTAAATACACACGGTGTGCCACCCAGGAGATTTTTGTTGTTGTTGTCAGTCATGGGGCTTGAACTCCGGGCCTGGGCGCTGTCCCTCAGCTCTTCAGCTCAAGGTGAGTGCTCTACCACTTGAGCCACAGCGCCACTTCTGGCTTTGTGTGTGTGTGTGTGAGAGAGAGAGAGATATTCACTGGAGATAAGTCTCACAGACTTTCCAACCTGGACTGGCTTTGAATCACGATCCTCAGATCTCAGCCTCCTGAGCAGCTAGGATGACAGGCGTGAGCCACTGGCATCTAGGTGAAAGTCTAGATTTCAAGGCACTCTGTTTCATTCGAGTCTCCCTTCATCTTCTGTGAGCCCCAGCAGCGGTAGCTGACCGCAGGACACCCCATCCTGGGAAGGGGGGAGCACCCAAGTATAATGATTAATCTAATTGGTCCATGTTCTGGTGATTCATTGATGGATCAGGTCAAAGTCTGTGGCCCAAAGAGCTGAGGCTGCTTTGAACTTTCCCTAAAAGTTACCTCATGTTTCTCTGCAGGCTCCAGCCCCGTGTCCTTCACGCTGTCCTGACTCAAGGCTGAGGCTGTTGGAAGCCCAATGCTAGAAGCCAGGCCTCTGTTTTGTGCTAGTCCAGGTGGGACTACCTTCAATGGCCAGGCCTTCCTTCTGACAGCCAGCAGCCTAGCTAGTTGGCCTGAAGATGGACACTATAATAGTTCTCCTCTATGGTGGTTCTCAGGGCCTGGGCGCTGTCCCTCAGCTCTTCAGCTCAAGGCGAGCGCTCTACCACTTTGAGCCACAGCGCCACTTCCGGTTTCCTGGTGGTTCATTGGAGATCAGAGTCTCATGGACTTTCCTGCCAGGGCTGGCTTTGAACGGTGATACTCAAATGTCAGCCTCCTGAATAGCCAGGATTCTAGGCGTGAGCCACCAGCACCCAGCTTCTCCTAGTTTTCTGTCTCTGCTCTATTCCTAAGTCTGATCTCTGAGGAGCAATGTTAGGGTCACAGAACACACCATGTCCAGACCCTCCACACCCATACAGTCATATTCCTAGTTCTTCTTAGCTCCACCAGACGTGTGAATAAGGCCTGCTATACTGACTCACACCTGTAGTCCCAGGTATGAGAAACGGAGATAGGAAGATCTTGGTCTGAGGCCAACCCAGGCCAAAATAAAAGACTTTAGGGGCTGAGAAGGTGGCTTAGTGGTAGAGTGCTTGTCTAGCATGCATGAAGCCCTGGTTTGATTCCTGAGTACCACATACACAGAAAAAGCTGGAAGTGGCGCTGTGGCTCAAGTGGTAGAGTGCTAACCTTGAGCAAAAGAAGCTCAGGGACTGTGCCTAGGCCCTGAGTTCAAGCCCCAGGACTGTCAGAAAAACTCCACAGGACTTTATTTGAAAAATAAAAAAGGCCTGGAGGTGTGGCTTAAGTGTAGAGTGCCAAGCAAGGCATTTTGGTTTTGTATGCATGTAGGTGTGTGTGTGTGTGTGTGTGTGTGTGTGTGTGTTGGAAACTGAACTTATGGCCTGTACACTGTCCCATGCTCATCTTTTTTGCTGGTCAATTGGAGGTAAGAGTCTCCTAGACTTTCTTGTTCAGCTAGCTTTGAACTGTGGACTGCAGATCTTAACCTCCTGAGCAGCTAGAATAACGTGTGAGTCACTGGTGCCCAGCAAAATTATTTCATCTATGTGTGTGTGTGTGTGTGTGTGTGTGTGTGTGTATGCATGTGTGTGTGTGCCAGTATTGGTGCTTGAACACAGGGCCTGGGGGCTGTCCCTTAGCTCGTCAGTTCAAGTCTAGCGCTCTTACCACTTGAGCCACAGCCCCTTAAGGTTATAAGAGGTCCTGAATGAATTGAGTTTCAATCTCAGCACAGCCAAAAACAAGTATGAATGAGCCGGGTGCTAGGGGGCTCTCAACTGTCATCTCAGCTACTCAGGAGGCTGAGATTTGAGGATCACAGTTTGAAACCAGCCTGGGAAGGAAAAATCTGTGGGACTCTTATCTCCAATCAACCACCAAAGAAGCTATTAGTGGCTCTGTAGCTCAAGTAGTAGAGCATTTGCCTTGAGCAAAAAAAGCTCAGGGACAGTGCCCAGGATTAGAGTTCAAGTGCTTGCGTGCGCGCACGTGCACACACACACACACACACACACACCCCAGTATGAATGTGGCTTGCAGCTAATAGCCCTGTGTCCATTCTGGACTGCATCTGACACAGTGGAACCAATCAAATGTGTTTCTCTCCATCTGGAAAGCAACTCTAGCTGCTAGAAGCAGCGATCACCTGACTGCCAGGCCCTCTGCAGGGTGCACCTCCTGTTTATTCTGGGGGGCGATAAGGGTGGCTGCCCTCGGGGGCACTGGGCACAGCTGAATCAGCCCAGCAGGGGCCCCTGGTGAGCCATTCCCACCCAGCCCAGATCCAAGGTCACTTTGTGCCAGGAGCAGCCTCCTACCCTATCCTGGGGAGCAGGGACCAGAGACAGCAGCAAGAGTGCCTTTAGGCAGATGCTGGTGGCTCACGCCTGTAATCCTAGCTACGTAGGAGCCTCGGATCTGAGGATGGTGATCTGAAGCCAGCTCAAACCGACAACTCTGCAAGACTCTCTGTGCAATCATCCAGCAAAAAAGCCAACCTAGAGGCATGACTCAAGTAGTAGAGCACCAGCTGTAAGCAAAATGAGTTTTTGTGGGGTTTTTTGTTTCTTTTTATTTTTGGTCAGTCATGGGGCTTGAACTCTGGGCCAGGGCGCTGTCCCTCAGCTCTTCAGCTCAAGGTGAACGCTCCACCACTTGAGCCACAGCTTCACTTCTGAGTTTTGATCCTGTGATCTCAGTTTCTTGAATAGCTAGGATTACAGGCGTGAGCCACCAGCACCCAGCCTCAGTGTATATTCTTCCAGAACATTCTCCTTTCCGTATGCTTCTAAGTGCCCATGTGTTTGGGGTTTATCTGGGTGATTGGTTTGAACGGGTTCCCAAATGTTCACCCGCTGGGAATGTGGACTTCAATGTGGCAGTGAGCAGTGCCATCTTTGGGAAAGTAACAGGGTCACTTCATATTAGTGTGCTTTTTTGGGGAGTGGCTGTTATTTCCATTCTATTTTATTTTTGTATATGTGTGTGCTGGTCCTGGGTCTTGAACTCAGGGCCTGGGCGCTGTCCCTGAGCTTTTTTTGCTCAAGGCGAGCGCTCTACCATTTGAGTCAGAGCTCCACTTTCTGTTTTTGTGGTAGTTCATTGGAGGTAAGAGTTTCACAGACTTCTCTGCCCGAGCTGGCTGCAGATCATGATCCTCAGATCTCAGCCTCTTGGGTTCCTAGGATGATAGGCTTGAGCCCCTGGCACCTGGCTTCTGTCAAGTTAAAGCCTGGGAGCTCAGTTGGCACAGGATGAGACAAACACATGTGCTTCCCATGGACCACCTACAGCTTGCGCCCATGCTCATCATTTCTAATGGTGTTATAAATATCTTGTATTCTTGGCAGAAGAAAAGGTTCCTCACAGAGTGCTTTTGTTTTGCCAGTACTGGGGCTTAATCTCAGGGCCTAGGCGCCATCCCTTAACTTTTACTGCTCAAGGCTGGTGCAGAGATTTGAGGATCATAGTTCAATGCCAGCCCTAGCAGTAAAGTCTAAGACCCTTATCGGCACTGACCCACCAGAAAACCAGAAGTGGAGCTGTGGCCGAAAGTGGTAGAGCGCTAGACTTGAGCAAAAGAACTCAAGGACAGAACCCAGGTCCTGAGTCTCCTTGGCTTTGAATCATGATCCTCAGATCTCAGCCTCCTGAGGAGCTAGGATGACAGACATGAGCCACCGGTGCCTGGCTTTGAGTCTTTGGTAGAAGAAAAGAATGCAGGCAGATTAATGCCCGCTGGGCCTCAGAGCCTGATGAAGACTGAGGTCTAGTTGCAGAAAAGACAGGGTCCATACCCCCACTTTCTCCCCTATATTCTGGGTATTTGGGAAGAGAGATTCTAAAAATAAGACATTGAGACATACATCTGCTGGGTGCCAGTGGCTCCCACCTGTCATCCTAGCTACTCAGGAGGCTGAGATGTGAGGATCCTGGTTCAAAGCCAACCGGGGCAGAAAGACCGTAAGACTCATCTCCAGTGAACCACCAGAAAACCAGAAGTGGCGCTGTGGCTCAAGTGGTAGAGTGCCCACCTTGAGCTGAAGAGCTGAGGGACAGCGCCCAGGCCCAGAGTTCAAGCCCTATGACCGACACCCCCCCCCGCCCAAAAAGTAGAGATACATCCTGAGGGCCCCAAGAATTTCCAGACACTGAGCCTTCCTAGGTGACAGGAGCCGTATAGCTGGGAATGGAGTGGGGTGGAGGGAGGTGATGTGCAGAGCAGACCGCACAAGGAACCGCATGCACCCCATTGGCAGAATAATAATTATTATTATTATAGTAACAATATCATACATTCAGGACAAACCCAGCTGTCCCCAGCCAACCATGAGATCTGTATGTACAGTGGATTCTATGTGGCCAGCAGGAGGCGCTGCCCACCTGTGCCCCCAGGGGCCCAGCCCCTCCTCCTACGGATACTTGGCACAGGTCAGGGAGGCTGGCACTGCCAACGCCATCCCTCCATGCTGGGTACCCCAAAGGGGCTACGCCCACCTTCATCCCGGGGCCGGGCTGCAGCTGTGGCGGGGAGGGGTGGCCTCTCTGAATTCCCTCCCCCTCTTCCTCCTCCCACGGGCCTGCCCATGACAGGAGGGGACCAGGGACATTCGGGGTACAGATAGAGCATGCAGAGTGGACCCATCGCATGCTTGGCCCGCTAGGCGCCATGCAGCTGGCCTAGGATCGTTATACAGGTGTCAGAGAGCTGAATGGGCAGGGGGGCTCACGGAGCCCCCCTTGGGCTGGGCCTCTGATTCAGTCTGTGGTAGGGTCTCCTGGGAGCTGGGTCTGGGGGCAGGCAGCTGCAGGAATTCCGGAAGCACCAGGTCCTCTTTTCGAAGAAGGCCCCTCTGGTCATGGGCTCCGCTGCTCTGTACTCGATTCAGGAGCTCCACCAAGCCTAGGGAGGGGGTGGGCCATGGAAATCAGAAAGCTCGTGTGTGTGTGTGTGTGTGTGTGTGTGTGTGTGTGTGTGTGTGTGATTGGAGATAAGTGTCTCACAGCTGGGCACCTATGACTCACACTTGTCATCCTAGCTACTCAGGAGACTGAGATCTGAGGATCATCGTTCAAAGCCAGCCTGGGCAGGAACATCGTGAGACTCTTCTCTGCAATGAACCACCAGAAAACTGGAAGTGGTGCTGTGGCTCAAGTGGTAGAGCGCCCACCTTGAACTGAAGAGCTCAGGGACAGCGCCCAGGCCCAGAGTTCAAGCCCCATGCCCCACCAAAAAAAAAAAAAAAAGAGAGTCTCAGAGACTTTCCTTCCCTGGGCTGGCGTTGAACTGCAGTCCTCAGATCTCAGCCTCCTGAATAGCTAGGATGACAGGTATAAGCCTCTGGGACCTGGCTAGGAAGCCAGATTTCACTGCTTTACTGGCCCCAGCACGGATGACCTCTCCAAACCCTCTTGTGCCAGCCCCAATGGCACAAGCCCTCTCTGCCTTAGTTCAAGGCTCCCTAATGACACGGTCAGTGATTTCCCCAATCCTCCTTGTCCAGTCTCTCTAATCCCTTGCCCCGATCTCCCCCCACCCCCGCCCCAGCCACCCCCTTTCCAGGTACCTTCGATGTCAAAGGTCTGTCGTTTCTCGGCCGAACTACTGGGTGCCTCCACTAGTGAACTGGGGGGCAGAGAAGAGGCGTGCATGGCCTTGTTCTGGGATCTGGAAGGACATCCCTGTAAGAGTGTGGGGGGTCACAGCCACAATCAGGAGGTGCGGCCAGAGGCAGCAGGCGCAAGAAGGCACCCCAAGGGCAAGACTGCCCACCTGGCTGCTGCTGCAGGAGGCCGTGTGGCTGGCATCCCCGATCTTCACACCTGCAAGGAAGAGCACCAGGGGTGGTGATGATGATGATGATGATTTCCCCCCTTCCATTTGGAACCCAAATCAAGTCCCAGGGGGATCATCCAGGTTCTTTACCTGGGAGTGTGTCCAAAATCAGTCGCTGGCCAGACACTGAGCTTACTAGCTTCTCCAGATCCAGAGGCTGCTTCTCACCTGGCTGAGGGGATGGGTCAGCTGCCCATGTGGCACAGAAGCCCTCCCCTCCCCATCCAGGCCCCACCCCGTCCCCTCCTGCCCCTCCCCGCAGCAGGACCCCCCCCCCCCGCAGCTCACCCGGTGCACTGCCACCTGCTCCAAGCTTAGGCCGTGCTTCGCCAGGATGGGCTGCAGCGCTTCCTGCAGCCGCTTGCTGGGCTTGGCCGAGATCCGCACCACGCGCTCCAGCGTGGACAAGTCCAGCCTGCAGGGGACCCTGGGGCTGCAGAGCGCGGGAGAGCCAGGCCGCAGCCCTCCCCGGGTGGGCGGGGCCAGCCCAAGGGAGTGGGCGGGGCTTCAGAAGGGGCGTGGCCGCAGCACCAGGGGCGGGGCTCCAGACAGGGGCGTGGCTGCCAGCACCAGGGGGCGGGGCTCCAGACAGAGGCGGGGCTGCCAGCACCAGGGGGCGGGCTTCTAATACAAGAGGGCGGGGCTCGGCTTTGTCCGGATAAGGTGGGAAGGCACTGGGCGGGGCTTCGAGCGCCAGGGGCGGGGTTTCTGACGCCAGGGGGCGTGGCTCGAGAAGAGCAGAGGGGACCAGAGGACCTTGCTCTGCTGAGTGATCAAGATCGTTTTGGCCTTCTGGGGTGGAGGATGGGAGGAGAACTCACTCGAAGGTGATCCTGGTCTCCAGCCGCACTTCCTGGTCCGCCAGCACAGTGCAATCCTGATCCAGGACCAGGGCCTTCTGCAGACCACCGGGCAAGATCTGAGGGCCCCTCCCCGACCCCAGCCACCCCTGGGGTCCCCGAGAACCACCTTTCTTGCCTACTGTGGCCTCTAATGGGGATCGGGCCTGTCAGCCTAGCTACTCAGGAGGCTGACATCTGAGGACTGAGGTTTGAAGCCAGTCTGGGGGCAACAAAGTCCCTCAGGGACTCTTTATCACCAATAAACCCCAGTGGGGGGGGGGAAGGCAGAAGTGAAGCTGTGGTGGCTCAAGTGGTAGAGCACCAGCCTTGAGCCCAAAAAGCAAAGGGACAATGTCCTAAGCCCCTGTACCAGCCCCAAAGTAAGTTAAATCAAGATAAAATAAGAATAAATGCTGACTGCCCAGACTTACTCCCCAACAGAAGCGCTCTGGCCTGTGCCATTCCTAAATGGGAGGGGGGGCGGCCTCTCCCAGACAGCCGGCTTGCGCTTGCCGCAGGGACAGGTGGAATGTGGGTGGTGAAGTTATATTTAGCCGGCACAAAAACCCATCTGGGCTGTTGTCAGCTGCTTTGGTGGCCTGAGACAGTTGGCAGAGTCTCCCTTACTGCTGTCCTCACACCCCACGCTCCAGGTCCCCAAACTTGTCCCCCCCCCCAAGTACCCAGCTTGCAGGCCTTTGCTTAAGTTGTTCCCTTGGCTTCGAGTGTCCTCCCCCACATTTTGTCTGCCAGACAAAATCCTCTCCGTCCATGTCACCTGCTGCTGCTTCTATGAAGGCTTCATAGAAGAAATGTTTACCCATTCCCCAGATAACTACTTCTAGAAGTTTCAGTCCTCCTTCTAATTATGTCCTGTAGGGCTCACCTTCAGTCTGTGGGCCTGGAGGAATGGATTTGGGCGCCAGTCCTTCTACTTACTTACCTTCTCCAGGCCTTAGGACTTGTCTACTAAGTAAATGGATTCCTGATGGTGTCTGAGGTCAGCATTATTCCTCCCCACATCCTTGCTGAATGGTTTAAAGACTAGTTTTCAGCCAGGCGCCAGTGGCTCACACCTGTCATCCTAGCTACTCAGGATGCTGAGATCTGAGGATCACAGGTCAAAGCCAGCCTGGGCAGAAAAATCTGTGAGACTTTTCTCTCCAATGAACCACCAGAAAACTGGAAGTGGTGCTGTGGCTCAAGTGGTAGAGCGCTTGCCTTGAGCACAAAAGCTCAGGAACAGTGCCGAGGCTCTGGCTTCAAGCCCCATGCCTGGCCTCCCTCTCCTCCAAATAAAAGAACATTGGTTGGGTTCAGGTGACTAGAAATGGACGTAGGGGCCTGGGAATGTGGCTTAGTGGTAGCGTGCTTGCCTAGCATGCAAAAAGCCTTAGGTTTGATTCCTCAGTACCACATAAATGGAAAAAGCCAAAAGTGACGCTGTGGCTCAAGTGGTAGAGTGCTAGCCTTGAGCAAAAGAAGCTCAGGGACAGCGCCCAGGCCCTGAGTTCAAGCCCCAGGACTGGCCAAAAAAAAAAAAAAGAAAGAAAAGAAAGAGTCACTCAGGATCAGGAAGAGTTTAGAATGAGGAGCAGGGAAGGTAAGGTTGCCCACCTGCTCATTGCCCATCAGGTAGACTTTGATGTCGGGTAGAGAGAGCCCTCGCTTCTCACAGATGCCAGCAAGCATGTCTCGGATGGTGAGGCCGGATCGGGCCAAGGCCAAGGAGGCTGTGCCATCCGGGAGGTACACGCAGCAGTATTTTCCTGGACGGCTTTCGCTGTCCCCTTCGGTGCTCCCAATGCTCTTCCTGTGGCTCTGGTTCTGAGGTACAAGTAGGGGGGTGGAGGTTATATGTATACATGCCAAGGTGTGCAGAGGACAGACAGGTGTGTGGAGACTGGTAAACTGCCTGGGGGCACACACACACACACACACACACACACATTCAAGCACACATCTGGAGCCAAGCCAAAATGTCCTCCTCCAGGTGCATGACAGGTCCACCCACTGACCACACCTAGGCCTGCACATGCGCACAGGTGTCTGTGCACCCCCCCCAGAACATACATGTGTGGGCCAATAGCGTGATGACAGGAAGAAAGGAAGGGGGAAGCACAGCCAGGAAGGAAAGTGAGGACCGAGCCAGAAGCGTGCCTCATTTCCCCAGCATTTGGCTCACCTCAGATCTGTTGGCAAAGGCAAGGAAACCCAGGTCTAGACTGGCAGACGAATTTAGGGAACCCTGAGACTCTCGGCGTAAGGCTAAGCTCGTAGTACCTCCTGTCAGCTCTAGGAGAGAAGGAGAAGGAAATGGGAAGAGTCCCTCTGTCCCTCACCCCATCCCTGCGATGAGACATCAGCAGGTGGATTTTGGTTGGGGGGAGACCCCACACTTCTGGGGTCTGGCCTGGGAACAGAACCACCTTGGAGAATGAATGAGATGACCTTGAGGAGTTATTTGTGTGTGTGTGTGTGTGTGTGTGTGTGTGTGGATACTGGGGCTTGAACTCAGGGCCTGGGTGCTGTCCCTTAGCTTTTTGCACAGAGCAAGCACTCTACCACTTTGAACCACAATTCCACTTCTGGATTTTATTTATTTATTTATTTTTTGGGTCCAGTCGTGGGGCCTGAACTCTGGGCCTGGGCGCTGTCCCTCAGCTCTTCAGCTCAAGGCTAGCGCTCTACCACTTGAGCCACAGCGCCATTTCTCACTTTTTGCTTATGTGGTGCTGAGGAATCGAACCCAGGGCCTCAGGCATGCAAGGCAAGCGCTCTACCACTGAGCCACCTTCCCAGCCCCTGGATTTTTTTTTTTAAGTGTTTCCTTGGAGGTAAGAGTCTCACACAGATTCTTCCTGCCCATGCCTGGCTTCGAACCAGGATCCTTCAGATGGGTTAACCCTGGGGAGCAAACGGGATTACAGGCGTGAGTGCTCCGTAGCTCCAGGGCCGACTGGATCTTGCATTCATGTTGTAGTCCGTGAGCCCAGTAGAAGCCAAGGGCGGCACCAACTCGGGTACCCGCCCCCCCCCGCCCCTCCCCTCCCTCCAGGGCCTCACCTCTGCGGAAGGACTTGCGGAGCGGGCGGCCCCCGGGACCCTCGGCCGCCGGCAGCTGCCCCAGCTCCTCCACGCCCAGCGGCAGCGACTTCCCCGGCTTCAGCTTGGGCTTCTGCGGGTACAGCACAGGCTCCGGTGCCCAGCCCTCGCGCAGATCGCGGGGCTCGCACCCGCAGCTCTGCATCCAGGGGCGTCTCCTCTTGCAGGGTGCTCCCCTCGCCCCCGACTCCTCCCCCCGCCCCGCCCCCCGCCCCGGGCCTCGGGTCCCCCACCTTCCTTGCCGTGTCCGGGCTGCCCAGGCGCGTGGAGCCCGGTTCCCGCAGGGGCCGTCCTTCCGCCTCGGCCAGGAGGCACTCGCGGTACAGCGGGGACTTGACGAAGCGCGCGTAGCTGTCGAACTTCATCAGGTTGAAGATCTGCAGGGCCAGCCCGGGCGGGGGTGACGGAGAATCAGGGCTTCCCTAAATTCAGCTGCCCTGCAGGTTAGGCAGCTGGCCCCGCCCCCAAGCCCTGGAGGGAGGCACTGACCACGCCCCTAAGCTTGGCCACGCCCATATACTTAGTTAAGCCACGCCCCAAGCCCCTGGAGGGAGACCTTGGCCACGCCTCCGATCTTAGTCACGCCCACATATTCAGTTAAGCCACGCCCAAAGTCATGGAGGGAGACCCTGGCCCCGCCCACAGCAGCTCCCAACACCTGCTTCTCGCCCTGGCCGCGCCCCTACCCTTGGACACGCCCACGAGCTCATTTAGGCCCGCCCCTATCTCTAGAGGAATGCCCTGGCCCCGCCCAGATCAGCTCCTGACACCTACTTCTCTCCCTGGTCCCTCCTCAAACCCTGGGGGAAGATCTGGCCCTGCCCCTACTCTTGGCCACGCCTACTATCTCAGTTAGACCCCGCCCCAACTCATGAAGGGAGCCCTTGGCCCCGCCCAGACCAGTTCCCGACACCTACTTCTCGCCCTGGCCGCGCCCCTACCCTTGGACACGCCCACGAGCTCGTTTAGGCCCCGCCCCTACATAGAGAGGAAGGGCCTGGCCGCGCCCCATATAGGCCACGCCCGCGATCTGAAGTAGGCCCCGCCCCTTGTTCCATTCACCTCGGCTTCTGCTTAGGCGCCTCTGAGCCCTACCGGCTCGGCCCAGGCTCCGCCCCTGGGTCTGACCACGCCCCCTCTGGATTCCTGTCTCCTCAAGCCACGCCCTCCCGGCCTACACCTCCGCCCGGCCCCGCGCACCTGCAGCTGCTGTGCCCGGAACATGTCCGGGCGGGGCTGTGCCAGCACCTCCTCGCCGAGCCAGGCCTGCCGGTCGATGTTCACCGGGCTCAGAGCCTGGCTGGACAGGAACTCCTGGTAGATGTTGCGGGCCTCCTGAGCGAGCTGGGGGAGGGGGGCCAGGCGGAGGTCAGGGGGGCACAGGCCCAGGCGGGCTTCCCAGCCTTCCGCAGCCCTCTCCTTCTCCCCCCACCTGCTGGGTGTCGCTGGCCGGGATCTGCTGGAAACGCTCACAGGCCTTCCAGAAAGTCACGTTCTCGGCGCTGAACTCCTTCTTCAGGAACTCCTGGGGGGGAGGGAGAGGAGAGGAGGGAGGGGAGGGCAGGGGGGGGAGGGAGGAGGAAGAGGCCTGTCAGACACAATCTGTATCAGGGGACGTGTTCAAAACACTGGGACAGACGCAGGGCCAAGAGACCAGACAGACAGATGGTGCCAGATCCTGAGACACAGGGAGAGAAAAGCATCAGCAGAGCCCAGGACAGAGAGAAGGAAAGGATGCTTCCAGCCGGGAGGAGAGGGAGCCAGGGAAGGGCTGGCTGAGGGGTGCCCGGTTGCAGAGGCCCACTCTGGCCAGCTTGGAGCTCGCGTGCATGCCCCTGCCTGCCTCCCTCTGCCCTAACCCATCCCACCCCACCCCATCCCACCCCAGGATTTACGGTGAAGTAAGCCAGGCCCAATGGATCTTGCAGCAACCTCTCGAAGGAGAGGGCCCAGCTGGCCACAGGCTGCTCCTCGGGAAAGGGGCTGCTGGCACCACTGGGGAGGCTGTGGATGCTCAGGGAACTGCCTTTGCTCTCCTTCTGGCTCAAGGACCCTGTGGTGCTGCTCAGCTCTGTAGGGGGGGATGGGCAAGCAGAAGGTGAGTCTCCCCCCCCCCCACCTCCCCAGTCATCCATCTGTTCTGCAGGTCCATTCCTATTTTCACCTCCCTCCACCCCCCAACCAGGTCTTCTTCACACATTCTGTCACTTACCTCCATCCGAGACAGCCAGAACCTAGGAGAGACCAGATCGGGTAGAAAGTCAGAGCAGAGCCCGAGGAGGAACAAATCAAGAGACATAGTTCTAGCCAGGCACCTGCGGCTCACGCCTTTCATCCTGGCTACTCAGGAGGCTGAGATCTGAGGATTGAGGTTCAAAGCCAGCCCAGGCAGGAAAGTCTATAAGACTCATGAACCATCAGAAAACCAGAAGTGGCGCTGTGGCTCAAGTGGTAGAGCACTTGCCTTGAACTGAAGAGCTGAGGGACAGCGCCCAGGCCCAGAGTTCAAGCCCCGTGACCAACAACAAAAACAAAGAGACACAGTTCTGGGCTTGGCTACCCTGGGGACTGGAAACTTTTCTTCTCCACCTGAAGCCTCATGCTGGATGCCCCTAGCTAGTCATTGCTCGGTCAGGGATTTGCTCAGGCTGTCCTGGCTCCTATTCCAACACATGCCAATCAGTGTGTGCTGGGAATGCATGCAAAATACCTTCAAATGGCCCCATTCCTTTCCTTCCCCCCAGCCTCTGCTGAGGGAGCCCAAGTGTGGATAGACTCTGTGTGTATATGTGTGTGTGTGTGTGTGTGTATACACTTGCACGCGCTGGTATTGGGGCTTGAACTCAGGGCCAAGGCACTCTCCCTTAGCTTTTTTTTTTTTTTTGGCTCACGGCAACTCTACCACTCTTTTTTTTGTCAGTTGTGGGGCTTGAACTCTGGGCCTGGGCGCTGTCCCTCAGCTCTTCAGTTCAAGACTGGTGCTCTACCACTTGAACCACAGCACCAGTTCCGGTTTCCTGGTGGTTTATTGGAGATAAGAGTCTCACGGAATTTCCTGCCCAGGCTGGTTTTGAACTGCGATCCTCAGATCTCAGCCTCCTGTGTAGCTAGGATGACAGGCGTGAGCCACCGGTGCCCAGCTCCACTTCTGGCTTTTTGCTGGTTAATTGGAGATAAATGTCTTATGGACTTTCTGCCCAGACTGGCTTTCAAATATGATCCTCAGATCTCAGCCTCCTGAGTAGCTAGCATTCCAGACATGAGCCACCAACCCCCCCCCCCACTGCAATCTGTACACAGACTTTAATACTTTCCCACTTGCTAAGCTGTGTGACTCTGGGAAAATCCATTCACTTGGTGGCTTCCATCTGTAAACAAGGGATGGTGCTAAAAATAGTAATGTCCTCAGCAGGCCACTACAAAGATGGAATCTGTGCATACTCTATTTATAGCATAGAGAGCAGTGGCCAGTGTGTAATGGCTGGATCCGAGCTTGCTATTGGAAGGAGAGGTGTTTTAGTAGCCAATAATCTCATTGCAACTGCTTCCCCTTGGCCTACCAGTTCTTCCGCAGGGCCCACCCCTTTGTACACAGCAGGGTTTTAGATCCACCCAGGATTCAGGGGCGGGGCAGGCTCTCTATTTCTCACAAGCTTCTAGGTCATGCTGATGACCTGGAAGGCCAGTTCAACCCTCTTCCACAAAGCACACACACTCTTAACGTCCCTGTTAATGCCAGCCCTTAATGGAGACAAAAACCATCCTCTGGGAATGACTCTGGAAGTCCCCCTTTGCCCCCCACTCTGTGTCCCTCCTTGGGTCTGTCTTGGACCCTTTGTCCCTCACTCTAAATCTCCAGCTTTAACCACACACAGACAACCCTTGGCTAATATCACCCCCCCCCAAACTCAGCCAATCCCAAGTGGAAATCCCTTCTCTTCCTACCAGAGTACAAGGCTGAAATGCAGCTGGCTCACACTTGCAATCCGAGCTACCCAGGAGGCTGAGATCAGAGGATCACAGTTCAAAGCCAGCCTGGGCAAGAAGGTACATGAGACTTTTATCTCCAATGAACCACCCCCAAACCAGAAGTGGAGCTGCGGCTCAAGTGGTAGAGCGCCAGCCCTGCGCATAAGAGGCTAAAAGGACAGAGTTCAGGCCCTGAGTTCAAGCCTAGTACCCACCCCACCCCTTAAATAGGCATACAGAACTGAAAATAACTGTTGTTGTTGTTGTTTGGGGGGTGTCTAACGTTACAACCTTGGGCTCCCCGCCTTGGATGAGCCCCATCTTCCATCTGCAGCATGAGGTAAGAAGCGACTGAGCAGAAGGGAAAGTTAGTGCCTTTCCCGGGCCTCCCATCCCCTCCCTGACCTGCACCATCCAATCATGCCCGCCCCCCCCCCCATCTCAGCGCCTCCCACGGCTGCAGGAAATGCCCTCCTTCCTGGGGGCGGGGGGGGGGCTCCCGGAGCCAGGGAGGCAATGTCCCTTGCCATTTAGCACCTGCCTGCACCCCGTGGTGTGTTCTTCTTCCCACCCCACCCCACCGCCCCCCTGCTAAGCAGCTGTATTCCCAGCTCCAGAGACTCTGCCACTACTGTCTTCACCCCCTCCAATTTCCCCAGGGATCATCACCCACTGCACCCTCTTCTCCCCCAGAGGCTGCCTGCTGTGCTCCAGCCTCAAATCAGCCTTGTTCTTCTCTCTCTCTCTTTCTTTCTTGCCTTGAACTCTGGGCCTGGGCGCTGTCCCTCAGCTCTTCAGCTCAAGGCTCTACCACCTGAGCCACAGCACCACTTCCGGTTTTCTGCATGGTTTATTGGAGATAAGAGTCTCAAGGTCTTTCCTGCCCGGGCTGGCTTTGAACTGTGATCCTCCTATCTCAGCCTCCTGAGGAGCTGGGATTTACAAGCGTGAGCCACTGACACCTGGCCGCTCAGAGGCTTGATGTCTACATTCGGTTTAATCAAAGGTCCATGTCCTTAAGTAGGGCTGGCTCCCGGATCCCTCCCCTCTCAGCTGTCCTATCTGGGTCCTGAGTCTCTGCTCTTAGGTTGCCGTTGCTAGGTGACAGTTAAAACCCACCTGGGCCTGACTAATGAACCCCTTCAACATCACCCATTTCCCTCCCCCTCACCTCCCCCCTATACCTCATCAAACTTTTCTATTTTTCCTGCACCCTACACACGCCTGCTTCTCCTGCCTCATTTTCCCTCTGCCTTGAGTACCTGCTGCAGCAATGCTCTCCCCCCCCTCCCCCCGTACATATCAGGCATCTCTGAGTACAGGTCTTCTGAACTATCCTTCCCTTCACACCTCTACCCATCACATCCAGGAGCTGGCCCTTAGCTTGTTCTACTCAAAGTTGGTGCTCTACCATGTGACTCACACCTACACTTCATTTTTTTTTTTGGTGGTTCATTGGAAATAAGTATCTCAGGGACAGCCAGGCACTGGCGGCTCACGCCTGTCATCCTAGCTAATCAGGAGGCTGAGACCTGAGGATCGCAGTTCAAAGCCAGCCCGGGCAGGAAAAGTCCATGAGACTCTTATCTCCAATGAACCACCAGAAAGTGGTAGAGCACTTGCCTTGAGCTGAAGAGCTGAGGGACAGCGTCCAGGCCCAGAGTTCAAGCCCCACGACTGACAAGAAAAAATTTCATGGACTTTCCTGCCCAGGCTGATTTTGAACTGCAATCGTCAGATCTCAGCCTCCTGAGTACCTAGGATGACAGACGTGAGCCACTGGCATGAAGCTCATAGACACATCTCTTAGACCCAGTACTATTCAGTACCCTCTACAGAGGGCTGGCTGCTGGCCAATCCAACACTTATGGCTGCCTCCTGAATGTCTTGATTCTATCCTCTCTTTCCCTATTATCTATAGTTAGTCTGAGCTGATACATGGACAGTGGCTGGGAGCCGGTGGCTCACACCTGTCATCCTAGCTACTCAGGACGCTGAGATCGGAGGATCAAGGTTCAAAGCCAGCCCAGGGAACAAAAGTCTGTGAGACTCTTATCTCCAATGAACCACCAGAAAGCTGGAAGTGGCTCAAGTGGTACAACGCTGGCCTTGAGCTGAAGAGCTGAGGGACAGCACTCAGGCCCAGAGTTCAAGCCTCACAACCCACAAAAAGGAAAAAAAAAATCTAGAGCTGGAAAGGAACAGGGACACAAACTCAATACCAGATCTGATGTTGAGGTACAAATGATTTCCCCTAAGCCTCAGTTTCCCCCTGCCAACACAGCTTCCCCAACCTCCAAGGCTGCCTACAAGCCTGTCTGTGAAAGACGCACCAGCCTGGCTGTGCTCAGAAGTAGCATCTGCACAAAGTGTATATGTGTGTGCGTGTGGGGGGGGTGGTGTTTGCAGAAAATCCTGCTGGCCGGGACTCCAACCTGCACAGACACTGGGCCTGGGGAAGTTGGGCTGAGCAGAGCTGGCCCTGCTCCAACCCCCACCTGACCTCTGCCTTGTTGCAGGAGAAGTGTGAGTAAACAGAGGAAAAGGGGAAGAAAGGCTGAGGAAGGGTGTGGTGGTTATGGACACCCCCAGATCCACCATCGGGGGGTGGGGTCTTCAGAGGAGGCAAAAGGGGGATCTGCTGATCTCTGAGGAGGCGAAGAGAGGAGGAGGGGCTTACTCTCCTACCAGCCCTGGTTTCAACTCGATCATTCTGTCTCTATCCTCCCAGAGAGATACTGCTTCTCCCACCTTACAGATGAGGAAACCGAGGTTCAAACAGATCATACGGAGGGGGGAAGCAGAAATGCCTCAGAAGCTTCCATGGCTTGTCTCTGGAGCCTAAGGTCTCCCCCTATCTTCCCATCTTCCTGCATGCTTGCCATCTGTGGAAAGGGAAGCTTTGAGGCCCAAGGTCTTAAAATCTGGGACAGGAATAAGACCGAGGCCAATGGTGTGTTGTGTGTGTGTGTGTGTGTGTGTGTGTGTGTGTGTGTGATTTATGGAGCATCTTTGTTTTGTATGTGTGCTGGTATCGGGGCTCAAGGCTCAAGGAATTGGGGCTCACTGGAGCCACAGCTCCATCTCCAACTTTTTGGTGGTTCACCGGAGATAAAGAATCTTAGGGACTTTGCTGCCCATGCGGGCTTTGAACTGTGATCCTCACATCTCAGCCTCCTGAGTAGCTGCGGTAGGATTCAGCCAGGGCCTGAATCTCCTGTACTATGATCTCATCTTTGAGGCTCTGAACCTCTCTGGGGATGTTACCCAATGTGGTTCCTTCCATGGGAGCCAGTCCTGTGACACTAAGCTGGCCATCAAGCTGTGGCCACTTGGCATCAACATCCAGTCTCAGGGCTGGGAAGGTGGCTCAGTGGTAGAGTCCTTGCCTTGCATGCATGAGATCTTCAGATCTCAGCCTCCTGAGTAGCTAGGATGACAGATGTGAGCCACTGGTGTCCGGCAACCACTTCTTGAGCTATACCTCTACTTCTGGCTTTTGGCTGGAACCTGGGAGATAAGTTTCATGGATTTTTCTTACCTGGGCTGGCTTTGAACTGTGACCCTCAGATCTCAGCCTCTTTTCCTTTTATTCTTTTTTTTTTTTTCGCCAGTTCTGGGGCTTAAATTCAGGGCCTGGTTGCTACCCCTGAGCCTCTTTGTGCTCAAGGCTAGCACTCAACCACTTGAACCACAGCACCACTTCTGGCTTTTTCTGAGTAGTTTATTGGAGAGAAGAGTCTCATGGATTTTCCTGCCCGGGGTTGGCTTGGAATTGGGATCCTTAGATCTCAGTCTCCTGAGTAGCTAGGATGACAGGTGTGAGCCACTAATGCTGGGGGCCCATAGGGTGTGTGTGTGTGTGTGTGTGTGCCGATTGAATGATTGTGCACACAAATGAACTGGATTTGGGGCTCCCTGAAGACACCTCGGGAAGGCGCTGGTATGTGTCTCAAGTGACAGATTTTTTTTTTTTTTGCAATTGCCTGACAAGCGGAATGGCAGGGAAACTGCCTGGCTTGAGAATAAAACTGCCTGGCTTGGGGACAAGGGGTGGTGGTGGCATTGGTTGATAGGAGATGACCAGGATCTGGAAGCGCTAGGGGGAAGGGGAGCGTTTCCAAATGCTGATCGGGTCTTCTTGTCCGCACATCATTTATTCCTGGGTCTCCCTTGGGAGCTAGCTCAGACAGAAGGACACAGACTCCTGGTTCTCAGCCACCTCTCCACCTCCATCCTCACACCCAGTCCCCCACTGAGGGCGACAGCCAAGCCTGGTGCCCCCAAAGTGGCCCACGCGTGAGCCCTGGAATCCTAGGGGAGAGTTCAGACCGGCCCAAGAAGGGCAAAGATTGACCTGTGCATGATCTGGACACCACACAGAGACTAGGGTGCTTTTCAGCTCTCAGTGGGGTAGAGACACCTGTGCCTGGCACTGGAGGGGGCCCAGGCTTAGAGCTGTCTCCAGCCCTCTCCATTTCCCTGCAGTTCAGAATACTGTTGCAGAAGCAATCTAGCTATGCTCCCAAGTGAATCTGACTTGATGGCCTGGACGCCAGGGGAAGGACTAGAAAGGAATCTCACCTCCCTCCTCCAGGCCAGATGGGCTGTTCTCAAACTTTCAAAGTGGGGCTCTAGGGGCTCACACCTGGGATCCTAGCTCCTCAGGAGGCTGAGATCTGAGGATGTGACAGTTCCAAGCCAGCCAGGGCAGGAAAGTCCGTGAGACTCTTACCTCCAATGAACCACCGAACAAAGCCACAAGTGGAGCTGTGGCTCAAGTGGTAGAGCACCAGCCTGGAGTGAAAAAGCTAAAAGACAGTGCTCAGGCCCTGAGTTGAAGCCCCAGTGCCAACACACACACACACACACACACACACACACACACACACACACACACAATGCATTACAAGTCTGTGATCTAACACCAACTGCCCCACCTGCTGAATTACGGAGAAAGGCCGGCCCCTCCCAGGACCGCTCTGGGTGGGGTAACACAGCCAGGGAGCTGTGTAGGACATGGGGATACCCTAGTTCTCGGGGGGGGGGATGCCTAGGGGGGACTGGGGATGGGACAGGCTGAGACTGACCCATCCCTGGGGGCCTCCAGAAGAGGGGGCATCAGTGACTCACAAAAGCTGGTCCTGGACACCTGCGGTGTGGGGTGGATGGGGAGAAGAGGGCTAGGGCTGAGTGAGGGGCAGGCACTTGAGGTACCGTGCAAGTGGCCAAGGGATCCATCCATCTGTTCCCTTGGGGGTGGGGGGTGAAGGCAGCTCCATATGGAGTGAGCCTTAGAGGGTCCAGCCTGCATCTGGACAAGAGGCTATGTCCAATTAGTTCCAAACACCTCTCCCGGGTGGCATGGGACTCTAGAAGGATCCTGGGGGGTTGAGGGCACCGAGTCCCACAGCTGCTGCCTGTACCCAACTTCTCTGGCTTGCCGTGTGCAGCCTGAGCCCCACCCTGGTTGTGCACGCATTTCCCCCCCCCTACTCCCCCCCCCCATCCTCATGGCCCTGGTTCACAGCCCTCACTCACCATGCGCCCATTGGGGACCCCCAGGTGCTTCGGTTTCCCTGGCATCCCGCCGCAGATCACGGGTCCCCGTCTGGGGGGCCACCCACCATGGGGGGGGAGGACCTGTGGGCAGTGCCCGCCTGGAGGCTGGCGCTGTGCAGGGCGGGCGGCGGCCAGAGTCCTGCCGTGCTCTGGCGGGCCCTCACATCCTGAAGCAGTAGCTCACTACCTCTTTTCTCTGCCACAGGAAGTGTTTCTATAGAAACCAAACCACAGAAAGCAGCAGGTCTAAGAGAGAGAGAGAGAGAGAAATAAACGCCTCTTCATACACACCCGCCACGTTCACGCACGCACACACACACACACATGCCCCCAGCACAGGCATGAAGACAGGCATGCGCCACCTGGGCCTAGCACAGTGCCTGGCTCAGCCCAAGAGGCCCCAAGGTCCTGTCTGAGCACGCTGATGTCCGTGGACCCAACACTAGGCAACTTTGAACCTGGCACCCAGCATATACTTATCTCAGATCTACTATGTCCTGGATGTGTGTGTGTGCTCAGTACCCCTGCAGGTACTGTGCAGGGTTCATGTGCAACCTCATCTCTTGCAGGTTTAGGCTGTCACGCATGCACGTGCTCAGGTGTACAGAGACAGGTGGACTCTGTGTGTGTGTGTGTGTGTGTTGGTCCTGGAGCTTTACCTTATGGCCTGGCCACTGTCCCTGAGCTTCTGTGCTCAAGCCTAGTGCTCTATCACTTGAGCTACAGCACCCACTTGTGGAATTTTCTTCTCTTCAGTTGTGGGGCTTGAACTCTTAGACCTGGGTACTAACCTCTGAGCTTTTTGCTCAAGGCTAGAGCTCTACCATTTTGAGCCAAAGCATCACTTCTGGTTTTCTGGTGATTCATTGGAGATGTCTCATGGACTTCTTTGCCTGGACTGGCTTGAACCATGATCCTTAGATCTCAAACTCCTGAGTAGCTAGGATGACACGCATGAGCCATGAGCACTTGGCACTTATAGAGGTTTTGATGATTCACTAGATATAAGAGTCTCACAGACTTTTTTCCTGTCTGGGCTAGTTTTGAACCTTGATCCACAGAGATCAGCTTCCCGAGTAGCTAGGATTACAAGTGTGGGCTACTAGTATCCAACAGGGACTTACGTTCTTGCTTTATTTTTTTTACTCCAAGGCTGGTACTTTACCACTTGAACCACAGCTTCACTCTCAGCTTTTTGATGGTTTATTAGAGATAAGAGTCTCATGGGCTTTCTTGTCTGTGACTGGCTGTGAACCATGATCCTCAGATCTCAGCCTCCTGTAGTAGCTAGGATTCTAGGTGTGAGCCATGGTGCCCAGTTTTCTTCCTAGTTTTCAAATGGCCAACTTTTTGCTGTGTCTTCCTGTGCCAGTGAGCAGAGAAGAAGAAAGCATGCTCTCCCTGTCATGTCTTTTTTTTTTTTTGCCGGTCATGGGGCCTGAACTCAGGCCTGGGTGCTGTCCCTCAGTTCTTCAGCTCAATGGTAGCACTCTACCACTTGAGCCACAGCGCCACTTCTGGCTTTTTCTGCTTATGTGGTGCTGAGGAACTGAACCCAGAGCCTGATGTATGTAAGACAAGCACTCTACCACTGAGCCATCTTCCTAGCCTACTCCTGTCTCATCTGATGTGGGCACTAATCCAATTATAATGGACTCCCTCCTCATAATTTAATTGGCATCAATAGGCTCCATTGCTAACACCCCCAAATACTATCACGTTAGGGGTTAGTGTTTCAATAATCAAGATAAAAGGATTTTTCCCCCTTTTTTCTTTGGGGATAGCTTCTCATTATGTTCGGTAGGCTCTCCTCAGACTCTTGGGCTGAAATGAGCTTCCTGCCTCAGTCTCATGAATTGGCTTCTTTTTCCTTTTTTTTCCTCCTCCTCCTCTTCTTCCTTCCCCTCCTCATCCTCAACCTCCTCCCTCTCCACTGAGGATTGAACCCAAGGCCTTGTTTATGGTGGAGAAGCACTTTACCACTGAGCTACATTCTCAGTCCTAGTATTTCAACAGATGAGTTGGAGGAACTCTAATTCAGATTTTTTTTCCCCAGTAACTACTAGGCGTGAATTCAGGGCTTGTGTGTGTCCCTATCTTTTTATGCCTAAGGCTAGCACTCTACCACTTGAGCTTTTTAAAGGTGGTTAATTGAAGATAAGAGTGTCACAATCTTTTTGACCTGGGCTGGGCTTCAAACTGTGATCCTCTGACCTCAGCTTCCTGAGTAGCTAAGGATTATGGGTACCAGCCACTGTGCTCAGCTTAGTTTGGATCTTAAATGTCTCCCATGTGTTAAAGGTACCGTGTCTCTCTCTGGCACTAAGAACCTTTGAGAGACTGGGTCTATGGGGAGAAAGTCCCCATAAGAAGAGACTCCCCTTAATAAGGATATTGGGACCCTAGTTCCTTTCTTGCTTTGTTTCTTGATTGTCATGAGGCAAAAAGGCCTCCTCAGCTGGGCACCAGTGGCTCACACTTGTCATTCTTGCTCACTCAGGAGACTAAGATCTGAGGATCATAGTTCAAAGCCAGTCTGGGCAGGAAAGTCCATGAATCTCTTATCTTCAATGAACCACCAGAAAACCGAAAGTGGCGCCATGGCTCAAGCGGTAGAGCACTTGCCTTGAGCTGAAGAGCTGAGGGACAGCGCCTAGGCCCAGAGTTCAAGCCCCCCCCCCACTACTAACAACAACAAAAAGGCCTCCTCAGCTACGTGGTCCCACCATGATATATTAGGACCCCCACAGGCCAAAGCAACAATGGCCATGGACCAACAACTCTGAAACGTGTTCTACAACATGCTTACCTTCTTATAAGTGATGAAGGCCGAGCCTACACAGGGGTATGCAAATATTTCGTTTATTACTAGTACCCTCACCCCTCCTTAGCCCTATGAAAGGATCCAGATGAACTTGGATCCTTTAACCTGTCATCAAGGTACCTAACTTTTTATACATTTATGTTCCCTCTACAAGGATTTAACATTTATTTTACTTTTTGTACTGATCATAGGGCTTGAACTCAGAGCCTGGGGCACTTTCTCTGAGCCTTTGTGCTCAAGGCTAGCATTCTACCACTTGAGCCACAGAGCCACTTCCGGCTCTTTCTGTGTATATGGTACTGAGGAATCGAACCCAGGGCTTCATGCATGCTGCTAGGCGAGCACTCTGCCACTGAGCCACATTACCGGCCCCACAGTTAACTGATTTTGGATCCTTCTTCCTTACAGAGGTCTCCATCATCCAGTCACAAAGAATTCAGTCTTCTGCCAGTCTACCCTTCAGTCTTGACACAGTTTTTTCTTTTTCTTTCTCCCTTCCTTTCTCCCTTCCTTCCTTCCTTCCTTTCTTTCTCTCTCTCTCTTTCTTTCTTGTCAGTCATGAGTCTTTGGGCCTGAGTGCTGTCTCTCAGTTCTTCAGCTCAAGGATAGTGCTCTACTCCTTTGAGCCACAGTGCCACTTCCAGTTTTCTGGTATTCACTGGAGATAAGTGTCTCATGGACTTTCCAACCTGGGCTGGCTTGGTACTGCGATCCTCAGATCTCAGCCTCCTGAGTAGCTAGGATGACAGGTGTGAGCCACCAGTGCCCAGCTCAACATAGGTTTTTTTTTTTTTTTTTAATTTTACTTTTGAGATGAAGATTCCATAAATAGCCCAGGCTTGGAAAAAGCCACCATCAGGAATCCCTAAATTCAAGCCTGGCCAAAACAAAAACAAAACAAAAACATTTTGTAGGGGTAATCCTACTCATTTCAATTCAGTTCCAGCCCCTGGACCTCATGTGGGAATATAGACCTAGATTTTCCAATTGTGTGTGTGTGTGTGTGTGTGTGTGTGTGTGTGTGTCCGTCCTCAGGGTCTGGGTGCTATCCCCTGAGCTTTTTCACTCAAGGTGCTCTACCATTTGAACCATAGCACCACTTCTGGCTTTTTCGTAGTAGTTTACTGGAGATCAGAGTTTCACGGACTTTCCTGCCCAGGCTGGCTTCGAACTGTGATCCTCAGATCTCAGGCTTCCTGAGTAGCTGGGATGACAGGCGTTGAGCCAAGGACCCTTAACTGGGGCTTTTAAAGAGGTGTGTGAAAGTAGCTCGGAGATGAGCTTAGGGACGGCTTAAAGGTCCGCCCAGGCTACCCGAGGTGGCTCAGGATGGAGACCTCCTTCAGAGCTGCTTCCACCCCCGACGCCCGGGCTGGGAAACTCACCCTGAGGCCTGACCTGCGGCCTGAAGCCCAGCGCAGGCCAGTCTGCGAGCCCAGCGGCCGCGCGCAGCCCTGGGAACTTCAAGTTCCAGGATGCTCCGCTCCCGAGGCCACGCCCCTCCGCGACCGTCGCTCAAATCATTCCTCCGCTCCTCATTGGCTCCCAGGCCTAACGTGCTGTTCCGTGATTGGTCTCCGGTCTTGTCACTCTAAAAGCTCATTGCCGAGGCCGGCTGACAGGGGTTTAGGAACCTCCAAGATGATGGGAAGGCCCTCGGCCCGGATGGGGGGCTGTCCGACCCCTCCATCCGCGGCCCGCTGCGACTGCGAGGCTTTGCCTTTTAACTCCTCGGCGACCCCGGGGGTTAGAAGGCTTCCGTCCGGAGGCCGTTAGAGAGCACACCCGGAAGGCGGAAGTCGGGGGGCGGAAGTGGCCCAGAGGAGACGGAGGATGGCGGCCGAGCGCTGGTTTTGGCGCTGGGGCTGGGGCCAGCGGTGCCCGGGGAGGCCTGGGCTTCCTGGCCCCGGCCCCGGCCCCGCCACACTTGTCCATTTCCTTCTGCTGCTCGGGTCGGTGGCTGCCGACATCACCGACGGCAACAGTGAGCACCTGAAGCGCGAGCATTCGCTCATCAAACCCTACCAGGGTGAGGCCCGGGGCGGGAAGG